ACCATTGCTAAGCCTATGCATTGCCTGTGGTCTACTACGTGTCTGTAGTTTGCACCTATTCACAGACAATTTCTAAGTTTTCATTAAAACAGTCATTCAGTCCCTCCATATGTCTTAGTGCCACACCAAATAAGACTTTGTGAAAACAAGAAACATTGCTCCTTTCCTCCTTCTCAACCTTAAAATGTTTAAGGCCCGTATAACATCAGAGGTAATGCTTTGACGTATTTGATTGGAATTGGGGGCTCGGTGGAATGTAATCTGACCCTTGGCACCGATGGCTTGGAAATAGTAAAAGAATAGATGTATCTTGGAAATACATGGTCGCAAACGGAGGGAAGAAAAACAGAACTAAGAGGCGTCGTGCGTTGGCTTTAGCAAGTATTAGCATAAGATCAATCTTATGAATGGAGAGTGCAATTTAAATTCCAATGCTCTTGCGACAAAATGATAAAGATATCGAATTGAAATGACCCTCTGACAGCAGACAGAATGTATAAGACTGTAGGCTATTGCCAGTGGACGGACGATAGCTATGTTGTGAAGCGAACGAACAGGAAGACCTTAAACTGCATTGGAATATCTCATAAGAACTGAAGGGACGTCGAAAGGACTGAACAGAGATCATGCATTTATTCCAACAAGGTGGAATGTCTAAACGACCTCTGTGTCGTCTTCGATGCAATGAACTCTGACCACCCTCTGAAATCTAATGTAATTAATGGATGTGACGATCTGCGCCTTCAGTATTTACACGACATATATCTTTACACAGTTCTCTTAGAATTTTTCTTTCAAATTTGACCAAGCAATTGTAACAGCCCAAACTGCTCATGTAGTTTCGATGGTCTCCTTTGGTGGAAAGGTCCAGTGATTTTAATAATTCATAAGTAACGGAAATGCCATTTACCAAACGCCATATACGCACTCCGGCATCATTTCTTGAAATGGTGTCATCAGTTCGGGCAATCTCAGTTGATTTCTGGAATTGAATCGATTTCAAGGAAAATCTGACAAACTCTACAAAGGGCTTCAAAATTGCTGTGTACCGAGTGCCATAGAAAAGAAAGATCTATGTATGGAGCACAATGTCATCAACATGATCATTAATGGCGATTTATGGGCATATTTGAGGTGGCCATCGAAATTTCAGCTACCGTAGAGCAGTAGAAACGAAAACGCTTAAGCAACGACCTTTCAGCGCGAAGGTATGTTCAGCTGGCCCTTTGTAAATCCGCAGTGAGTGTATCAAAAGATCAGCTCATTATTGCAAATGAGGAATAGAGTTGCATTGGATGTTATGTATGAAAGCACCTTCCTCTTAATAAATGGGTATATAATTATTTTCAAACTGCCTCAGAAATCCTGTAACTTTGGATCGTCAAGTTATTATTCCCACTACTTGGGCTGATCCAGAGTAAAGTTAGTAATTGTTATGAAAGAGTCTAATTACAGCCAATAGTGGAGTGTAAAATGTGTCTGAAAACTTGCCAACCGTAATTTCTTGCTGAACGAATGAATAATGAATATTTATTGTTCGAATGGAATAATCGGTGAACCCATTGTTCAACATAATACAGGTAAACAAAATTTGAACGGAACTGAATGCTTTCTCGAAATGAAAACTAAATCAGAAGAAAATCACTAGAGGTAAAAAAATGTCACAATGTTGTGTGACAGCTACATATATGCAAAAGAATCGCAAACAATGATTACAGTGAAACCTATACACAGTAGGACTTCACATACAAAAATGTACAAGACGTCAAGGGAGGTTCAGCATCTCTGTTTTACAGTTATCGGACCTTAAATTGTGAGAAAAGACGTTCAGATTGTTCAGACGCTTGCTACTTCAACTTCACTAGTTTAAAATCATGCCATTTACAATTGATCGCTGTATCAATTGCTTCGCTGCAACCATCATGATCTTAAGTCCAAAGCTCTCTGTAATTTCAGTTCGATGCCGCTGTCAAGCCCAAGGATTGCATTATTTTTTATGTTTCCGTCGTAGTGGCTATGCCAGGCCACTGCTGGTCAGCGAGCAGGATAGTTGCAGTTCAGGTAATCACCAATTGGTTAAGTCATACCATCTAGTCACGCCAGATCATAAGTCATCCAGTGCCGCCGTAACATGTTACAAACAATTTGTTTGCAATCACCAGCAATCAGTAAAATTAAACAAATACAGTGACGACGAGAAAGAATAATAACTATAGTAAACGACGATCGTAATAAAGATATTATCACTTATCTGCGTGGTTAGTGCATAAGTGAACTAACATAATAATGTAATATTATGCATATTAAAATTTATACATGGCCAAAAAATCTGTTTTTACTTAAGTTTATGACTCTTAGGCTTGGACTTCAAAATTAATTAATGGTCAAATACAAAATTTTTTAAATGAACTGACAAGGCAATCACTTACTTCTAGCTAACACTTCGGTAGCATGCAATGACCGAAACAAAGCTAAAAAAACTGCAAACAGCATAGAGGAGTTATCCGCCTAATTTATCATCCAAATAGAGATCGTGTAACGTTCACAATCGTGTAGAAAAAACGTTGACAAAGGGTAGAAGTTTAAATTGACAATTGTGACATATTCTTCTTATTGTTTTTACAGAGAGCTTTCTATCGATTCATGATAGAAGGTATAAAGTTAAGTGTTTGACACAAATGACCAGCTGCCGAAACTCCTGGTTCTGACTAAACAGCGTACACTCATGAAATGAAGTGATAATCTGCGCCCCTGACAATCGCATATAAGAGTACTCTCAAAGAGCTTGATACTTACAAGTAAAATGATGGTTAAGCAAAGTAACTGATACAGGTGATCATCTATCAATGACATAGATGTAAACTAACTACCATAGAACTGCGCGCTGACTTGCTGACCTCACACAGTCATCAGCATCGCACAGTAAGAAATCAGAATTCGCAATTCTGGCAACGGCGTCGTTCTTCCCTCACGGAAACTTTCCTTTTGACGTAGGCATGGGTTAATTTAAGCAGTTGGCGTAGATGACCACCGACCAGTTATGCAAATTCGTTCCTACGACCGCAGCACCAGGTGCTGATATTGGCAAATTGACTGGTCCAAACAGCATGTACAAAACTGCGAGAGTTTCTTAACGGCTTTATGTTGTTTGAAACATGACCGACTGCCAGCCAGTGAGGTAGTTAGAGGAAAACGTTAAAAATTAGCGTACGATGCGGAACTGCTGATTTGGAAACTACTGAGGTCAGGTCTTGGTTCATTAGCAACTCAGGCATTGTTGCCAGTCGACGTTTTGCGTTTGATAGAATGATGCTGTTCTTTTTTTATAACTATTCCATAACAATTGCTAGCCTTCAGATTCATCGGTCTATTTTTACACAGAGATCATAAATATAATGACTGAGCACATGAAGGCATGAAATCTACATGACTGCGGAAATAGGAACAAGAAAAGGTTCTACGAAATGAAAATTATTAGGTGTCTGAATTTTTCCAAAACTTTACTGCGTTCCCTCCCAGGATCGACCAGTATTCTTGCCAAGAGTTTAACTGTCGAGTTTGGAAATATAAGTATGGGCAGTTTCGAGTGCACGTGCATATATCTGTGCATCGCAAACTTAATTATTTCGATGTGCACTGCTAAAGAACAGTGTGTTTGGAATGTAGTTCGTCATCGGAAAATATTTTAATCAGAACAGCTGATCCGCAAGCCAGTTTATTATACAGGAAAAATTATATCACTGCCTCATTTCTAGCACATTATCGTCATGTTGCTACCAATGTATGGTAAAAAAGAAATCGAACTAAGTGCGATGTAATCCTTTGTTCAGCAGGAGGCCTGCACGATGGAACAACTTCGTATCACTTCGTCCAGTCAGTGACAGCGTAGTCGGTTTAAAAATATTATGATCCGTTCAATCCTGTCTAGATCAACAATATTCCAACACCGTTTACTGGATAACGCCGCATATCAAACCTATTATATACATATTCCGCAAGGTTTTCGACGAGGTTCATGAAATGGTATTAGACAGAACAATACGTTGAGAAAAATAATTTATTCTTTCCAGCAGTTAAGAAATATGTTCTTTCGCACATTATGCGTCCGTCGTACGGTAGAACGATTTGGTTGGTTTTCTTCCCGATTTCGCACACGGAAGTTTATTCATTATTTAAATGTTATTTAATGAATAAATTTTATTTTCTGTTTGCTGGGATGAAAAGAATTGTTTTTCCACGACCGTATTCAAACACAGACTTTCAGCTTTAAGTCACATCGCAAAATTCCACCTAGAACAAATGTTCATTCTTCAAAGGGAAGAACTGAATTTTCCAGGTGAAAAATTATTCTTCGGTTACCATAATTAAGCACCATGCATTGGTATCATCCAAGCAGGTTGGAGTAACTACGATGAGTGTCACCTTTGATGCCGGAGTTTTGCCTGATTGACGATGAGAGAATTTTAGAGTTTCCACAGATTTATTGCAGTTTGGCACGTCCCATTTTATATTTATATTTTAAATTATTTAAATTAATAGTAAAATTATTCACAATTTCCTGTTTTTCGAATTTACTTCTTCCAATAGCTTGAAGGACTGTTTCAGCAAACCACAATTCCGTGCTATTTTGACTCGTGCAATGCATGAGCGCAATACTGCACCGCTACGATGAAGTAGTTTTTATACTATACTCATCTTTGATCTAAGTATATTCCTTGGCGTTGCGTTCCAACAAATTTTCATT